AAAAATAATTTGTCATTCAGGGTTTATTTTAGTCAGTGTGCTTTACAGCTGAACGCTGGACATGCCATCACTGACCCAAACGGGCCAGCATGTCTATATATATCATAAAAGTACAGTGCAGCCCTTGTTCAACTTGAGCTAAAATATCTTCTCTCTGTAGATATTTAGGACATAAAGCCATTGTTCCTTCATATAATATTGACAAATTCATTTAAACTTGTTAAGTTTTAAACTGTTTTAAACTCGCAATATTTAAAAAGGCCACCTTTAGGAGACTTGATCGCCCATCACAAACAGAAGGCTTAAAGAGCCGGTTCACAGGAACTACTTGCATGAACGCTGACTTTATTATTCAAAACTCTAATTGTATTTGATATAAACAGCCACCATTTTAACAGTATATTAAAGACAGAAAACAAGGAAAAGCATAAAAGAACCCTTTAAGGTTAATTCACGTGGTAATGTTGACCCACAAGGTGCGATATTAGGCATTTTTAAAGGATCAAGTCAACAGTAAAATCTATCATAAAAAAGAAAACCTATAAAATCAAAGTAAGACTCGTAAAAAGAGGTCAAAGCAATGATGAGGCGATCATTACAGAAAGGAAAGTCAATTAAAGTGAGTTTTAAGACGTACTTAAAAGATTAAAGAGTCTAGAGATAATGAACATTTTATCACCAAAGCAGCTCGGAAATGAGAAACTGAAGTTCTCATCTCTTCATCTTTTGATAGGAGCTACTGGACACAAAGTTTCACTCAGCAGCGAAGATAACTGCACATACGCCACGCGTGGGTGGGCTTTCAACACAAAAATATGTTTGAAAATGGGATCAGTATGCGCCGTATCAGCCACCTCGCTTTATGCTTCTGCCTGAATACAAATGCAGGTATTTTAACTGTATTATAGGCAGTAAAAATCTCCATCCTTCTGATAATATGACAGTTTTATTATGTGGTTTATTCCTTAAAATAGCCCTGTTTGTCCAAGTATAAGGAAATTTGCAGCCCAATTAAAAGTTTTAAGGGTTCAAAATTGGCCTTGATGCAGTGACTATGTTACAAATGAGTACATTAAACGCCACTAAAACAAAAGCCAACTCTTCAAAGTTCAGGCTATGTAACTATTATGAAAACAAGACATCTGAGACAATAACTATTAATAAAAAAAAAACTAACAGTTATTACTTTTGCTCTGCAGTCCTTTTCCCAGTACAAGTGCCAGACATAGGTGTGCATTTGCACCTCTATTAAAAATCAAAGACACTCAGCTGTGGCTTGAATTAAGATGAGAAACAAAGACAGGCCGGTGTAAATAACAACAGTAAAACTAATTCAACAAAAGTCTAATTAGAAAAGATATACAAAAGGGTTTTTCTGAAGGTTTACCAAAAATGTATAATGCTTAAACAGTCGAGGTTTTACAGCAGCAGCCGCCAATGCAGAAGTTTTAACTGACACTGCACCGTGATCACGTTATGCAAAGTCTGAATCTTCATTCTTTGAATAAGATGGGACTTTTTGGGCCAAGCAATTACTATGTAAGGTAAACCTGAGGTTTTAAACTGATCTATCCTCACAGAAGCAGCACGAGCATGTTAAAAGCTTAAAGAAAACAAACAGGTGCAGGATTTTCATACATATACATCAAAGCTGACACCAGGATCATGGTTTTTAACTCTTTTGTTTCCAGATTTCAGGCTTTAGGTAAATAAGGTAACACATCCTCTGCCTGAACTATATACAGACCAGACATGCTTACATGTGGAGTCAAACTATAATTTGTGTCTAGATTAATTCAATTGCTCTGAGAGATTTAAAACACCCTAGTGTCAAAGCTAAATTAAGTGATTCCAGGCAGCAGACTCTGGATAAGTCTTAACTCACTTTTTCACAGGCTCCTCCGTAGCTTTCTTCTGAATGTCCTTGCTCTTGGGCTGAAAGAAGGATCTGTAAAAAGACCACACAAGCATTCACTGGCTTGATACATGTTTATACCAACACATGTCTGTATTTAGTGCATTAAAGTGTAATAAAAATCGGTAATAAGACCGCACTTTTACAATAATACAGAAAAAGGTTTGCCTGTTAATTAGAAACTTGCTGAATCACAGATTACCATCTTTGCTATCTAGTGTTACAGCAATGTGGCTCCACTGATCACAGCCGCTTTAAAAGATCTCTATAAGGTAGGAAAATAACCTGCCTTTAAAGATCATGTATACTTATATAGCTATGATATTGTCTGTGTCTGTGCTGGAGATAAAACTACCCTATTTTCCAAATAGGTGATGCGGATAAAAGCATGCTAAAGCTAGCTTACAGGTAGTCCGATTAACACCGAAACAGACATGTTTTTTGTTTGTTTTTTCAGTGTAACCCCCTCCAAGTCACACTTAACCCCCCGCCCGCCCGCCTAATCACCACTTATTACACAGCTAACTCTTCTAGTGCACAGACACAAGCATCGTCAAGCTAGCGCTAATTTCCAGCAAGCTAACTGCAAACTTTGGCTTGCACTTACGCGATGCTCCGCTGCATGTTGTCTTTAAACTCTTCCTTCACCTGATACCCGGTTAAAACAAACGTTTAAATCGCAGCAAAACTCCGACATTCACACACACGAAGACACCAACTCCCGCGCTGCAGAGGGGCAAAATAATAACTTGGAATATTCGGCGCCAAAAGTTGTATCTCAGCCAAAGATTCTCAAAGGAGAAGAAGACTTACTACTGGAGCCCAAAGCGAGCGGTTACCGCTCTGTACGCATGCGCACTCACGTACTTGGTTTACCCAAAGAAAAATAATTTTTACTGTAGCTACACAAAATGTATTGAATAAAACTACTCTGTTGCTACTAATAAGATGTGACTGTGCTTAGTCAAAGCTTCTACGCTACTGTTAAGATAGTATACAACTCACTATGGAATGGACAAGATGAGTAAAATATAACAAAGCTAAAGGTTTGCTATGTTCATGCAGGTATATAAAAAATTGTACTTTAATTTTTTGTCAGACTTCTCTTGCAATGGCTGCATGTTTCCCGATGCAATCTGCATTAAATGGTACCTGAATTTAATTCCTGGTGTTTTTCAGTCTTCCTAGCAAGTACACATCAGAGGACATACTAGACTCATAATGAGGAGGAGAACATTTTGAAAAGCTAAAACACTTTTAAAGTCTGCAATTTACACTGCCAAAATGGTGCCAAGCAAGCTAAAAAGGCATGTGGGAACCATGGTCAGTCTGATAAGGAGGTGAATGCCAGTTATATGAACTGGTGGAGTAAAGGGGACTTGATCTGACAGCAGAACCAGCAGAGATAGAGGCTATTTTTTTGGTGACATGAATATGAGCCTTGACATTTTGCCTCAACCTTTGGTGGATCTTGGGTAAAAAAGGTTTGAAAACCTACAGTCATTCCAAACCAGGGGTGTCGACCCCTCTTTAAAGATAGTATGATCCCTCTGTATGGGGATCTGCACAGCCTTTTTAATCTCATTTCTGCAGATGTTCAGAAAATATTTCTCAACTTATTACTATCCGTAATATTCAAAAGTAAAGTTTGGCTTTTATTGAAGGGCCAGAGTGTCCTGATGGTTAATGTGTCACCACATTAACCACAAAGTTACAAGTGGACTACCAGAAGTAAAAGAAATACACATAAAACTGGGAGAAAGTGGTGGAAAGTGAATGTCAAACAGCTTTCCCAAAATTTTTGTCAGTCATTTTCTTTGTCATTTTTGAGTTTTACATGAAGTGTAGCTCAAAAAGTGATGTGATATTTGAGATATATAAAAAAATGAGTTCATTCACGCTGGACAAGCCCATCAAGTGTGTTGTAATCTCCAACTACAAGACGCGTCAAGCAAAGGCAGTATTCAGAGAATGTGCCATTTGTCAAATGCTTCCCACTGAAAGTCAAATAATAAACAAAACAGCATCTTAAAATTACAGTTAAGAAGAGTTTTAAAGGTTAAAAGAGAACAAAAATGGCCTGAGTGTGTCTAAGCTTCTTTTTATTGTCATTGCGAGCTCTAGAAAGGGAACATCTCATCCATCAGTTTTATGCCAAGCAGGCCAGATCAGTAATAGCACCATACCCACCCTTTAACATAAAGAAGTACAAGTGAACGCTCCAAGAAAAAAAAATAACAACACATATAATAAACAAATTAATATATCTTGAAAAACAACACCATAACTTAAATGCAACAATATAAGCAAAAAGTGACAAAATGCTTCAAATATAGATTCCTCTGAAGGCTCCATAATGTTGCTTTAGAGCAATATTAACAACATCCCCTTAAAAAATCTACAACTTAATATCAGGAAAAATAAATAGTAGATCAAATATAACGCGTACTATCTTTACTGATCAGAGTGGCACCTCTGCTGTTTTACACCTCTCCGCTTAGACGCTCTCCCGGGAAAATGGGGTGTAGTGAAAGGTTCACGAGTTGTCAAGGACGCTACTGCCCCCTGTTGTGTCGGGGTGGTAACTGCAACAACACCGGCTCCTGGAAATGACACTGCAAAGACTACACGAAAGCCCCCGTTTCAAGAGGATTTTCCCTGGGCCTGTTTGAATGCATCATTTATGGAGCTCGTATTATTTTCATGAAGCCTGGAGCAGGGGGCTGGTGAAATGCTAGACAAACAGCTAAATAATGCAAGCTGAGTGCACTGCTTTATTTACCCAAACACAAGTGTCATGTAGTTAATTGTTTACAAGTGCATTTCCCCTACTGTGGCGTGAAGTGCTGACAGAAGAAAAGCAGGATTCATAAATATTTCTATGCAAAAAAAAATTTAAAAAAAATGAAGAAGAAGACAACATGGTCCAACTAAATAAATAGCCCACAAAGTCTGTGCATTTTAAACCACAGGTAGTGAATTATAAACTATTGTACAACAAGCTCAAACAACACACAAAAAAGCTCGTGTTTGAGAGATTTGAGGAGGGAAAGCAGTCCATCTGTTGTAGCTTGTTTTCTCTTTGTCACTCTAACCGTCTCCCTGCTGCCTTCTCCTCATCTTGAAGTTGAGTCTGCTTCGCTCCCTCATAAAGGCTCCGACTGACGTAATGGTTCACATCCCACCCTGCGGGGCTCTTGTGCAGCCAGCGAGCGTTCAGGCTCAATTCCCCCAGCTCCCTCAGGTTGACTCCTGGCCGTGCAGGGGTGGAGATGACGGGGAAAGGGCCGTGGAGAGCCCGAGGCACGGGGAGCGGTTCAGGAAGGCAGCACGGGAGCAGGAAGGGGTGAGGCAGAGGCTGAACCGCTGTCAGGAATCAGAGTGAGAGTCAAATCAATCAGAAAAGTAACCCCTGAGACATATGCAGAGCTTAAACACATAGTGATTTATTAATACCACTACTCTGATGCATTGAACGGGCTTTAAAGCCGTTCGGGGGGAACCTAAAACTGGTTCTAAGTAGTTAAATTAACTGTTTAAAGTGAATATTTTAAGTCTATAATAGATCAAACACAAAGAAGAACAGCAATTTTGAGTCTAAATCTTCATTAAAAATGTCAAATTATGAGCTATTTTTGTTTTAAACTGATATTTCAGTAAAACCGTAAGTTTCTTGATTTTTTTTTTCTTTGGGGGGGGGCATGTAAATGAACATTAAATTAGTGTCCTTCCCACATAAATTCAATCTTCCAGGAAACATGCAGTATTAAAACTTCCAAGGTGCAAAGTACAGAACATTTTTTTAGCATTTACTTTCTTTCATGCGTGTTCAAGCTGAATGAATTTATTCACTCTGGAGGAAAAGTCTTCAAGGTCAGGATCGAACTCCTTCCTTGCATTATTTCCCATCACGTCACCCTGTTTCACCTTGAAATATATTAAATTACAGAAGAGGCAAGCCATCAAAATGACGTCTCATTGGAAATTGAACTAAATGCAGCTGAAGGAGTTTAAAAAATCTGCAGTTTACAGGAAATGAATAGTGAGTTGTGTAATGTGAAAGTGAGTGAATATGAGGACAGTGGAAAGGCAAGGTCAGTCCAGCTAAAACTACAATTACAGCTTTCTTAATTACAAGCAAGTGGAGAATTCTCAGTAAAGTCCATGAAACCTACAGTCGCAATCAACTGATCCTTTCAATGAGTGTGTCTGGGTCTCGAAAGCCTTTATTAGAATTCATTGAATCACATAAAATTGTACCATTAAACACACCATCCTTCTCCTGCACTAGAGGAAAGAATAATTACAAAATGGTTATAAATATATAAGAACAAGAACATCAAATGTGTATTAATCCAGAGGTAGAAGTAGTCCTGAGTCAACTGAATTACATTATGTGGACAAAAGTACTGGCCTTCCTGCACATGATATGCTACGAAGCTCCCAGTGCACAGCTTTTGTACTGATGTTAATAAGAGAAGCTTTGAAGTGCTACACTTATTGGAACAGCAGAGAGTTGATGATTTTACACATCCCATTAGTAGCTCCACAGAGTATTAGTTTGCACGTTCGCCTAGCAAATGTGTGCCTTTCAGGAGTCAAGCTACAGTGTTTTGGAGACAGGGTGATGCACAAAAAAAGACTAAACAAAATGAAGCCATAAATTCTTTTCTCAAAGTCAGTGAAGGAGAAAAAGAAACGAGCTCACACAATAACATTTATTTGTTTCTTTGCAAAAGGGTGTTTTAAAAAGGTCAAGATGACTGTTAAGGAAAGCGTGAAGGTTAGGGGCTCCAAAAAGTACAACTTTTTATTTTCGGCTCATACAGGTTAAAAAAGTTCAGTGTCATCCGCAGTGTTATATCATCAAAGAGGTCCAAGAAGACCTTCAAGGGGGTTGTGGTTTACATTTCAAGGAGCAGATAAGTTTGGGAATCATCTGCACAGCTGTGAAATTAAGTTCCGTATTTTTTGAAAATTGATCCTAACAGCAGCATACAGAGTGAAAGAAGTACGGGACTGGGAATGGACCCTTGAGGGATCCCACCTGTGAGGGAAGGTGATGATAGATAAATAAAAAAAACACCCAGCCTGCCTGTTAAATATGATTTAAACCATTCAAAAACAGCCTCTTTAACGCCCACACCATGATCCAAGGTTACCACTAAGGTCTAAATAAAAGATGATTAAAAACTTTTCAGTATTCTCTCACAGATTGCAATTTGGGACTCTTTGAGAGCCAGATTTCTCTTATTATGTGTCTGCAATCACTTGGTGCCTCCAGTGGTATATTATTAGGTTGACACACTTGCTTTGCGAGTGAAAAGTTGCTGGTTAAATTTCAGCCAGAGACACAAATTCCCTTTGGGATTGTATTAGTAAGGGCATCCGGTGTAAAAACGCTGCCATATCAACCATGCAGAGCTACCCGCTGTAATGACCCCTTGTGGCAAGGGAGCAGTGAAAGGCAGCTTTTTATGTCTTCATCTGTGTTAGCTGGACTCTGCGGACCTCGTGCCTTACCTCTGTCCATCACTGACCCTGCTCTTCCACAGAGAGGAAGGCCACTGTCAGCAGCGAGATGAGGGAATAGAAGAGAGCCGCTCTGGACGAGCTGGAGGGATGGAGGTATATGAAGAATGAGATGGAAGAATGGTTGAAATGCAAAGAGTGCAGACAGACAGAGAGTGCACAAAACATCAAGAACACCAGGTGAAGATTAATTTATTTTTAATATGCAGAAGATCAAAGCTCCTGGAGCTGAAAGGAAAAGGGGACTTCAGATGATGAAGACATTAATCAACTTAATTGAAGTATGGTGTTCCTGATATTTTGCACACATATCTGAAAAACGTCATTAGAATATATGAAATTAAGAGTTTAATTCCAAAACAGGACTTTTTTTAAATAGACTCTGCTCATGCAGCGCTTTTCTACCTCAGCAGACAAAGCGCCTCCCTACTAATCCCCACTCCTACAAAATGTATCAAATAATTAAACAAGGTCTGGTGCTTTTTTTAAAGGCTAGCAGGTAACCTAAGCCCTTGCGCTGCCCATGAACATGATATAACTTTAACACACTGACTCCCTTCTACTTTAGAAGATCAGTCAATTGCTTGGTTTTACATTAAATGATAAAATTTTACTAATGATTTTTATTCAAGTCAGCCAAACTCATATTAAATGATAAAGTTGAGGCAATTGTTTCTATTAGAGCTTGTTCATTTTTTATATATCAAATAAGGTAATTATTTTATTTCAAAGTGCTGAGGAATGAAACTCTTCCTAAAGGACTCATTTTTTGGAAAACTGGCCAAATGACAGGTTCCACTCCACTGTATTTATAGTGTTATATAAAGTGTAACATAACCCAGAAGCCAGTTTTCCACACAACAAAGTCCTTTAAGCTGAAGTGAAGATGTGATGAATGACCTGATGGCTCGGTGCTGGTGCTGCTGGTGGTGCTGGCGGTGCTGGCGGTGGGTATCCCGGATAATTGACGAGAATGAGTTTACTGAAGTTGAACTTGTAGGTGAATCGTTTCCCTTTGGTCTTGTGCAGAATGCGTTTGTTGTAGTAGTATCTGGAAGTAAAATGTTTTCTCTGTCAAGACTACACTCTGAAGTGTGTGTCTAAGGTGCGCTTTGCTGTTCCTGTAGGGCACTTTAGATTTCTTTGTTGCTTTCCAGGTGGCATGATTTGCATCTGTGGACATTTTAGATTTGAAAATTTAATTTGACAACATGTGTTGGCGAGGAGCCTGAGGAGGAAGCTGCACGGAGAGAAAGGATTACTCATATTCACAGTTAAATATATATATATTTATAAATATATATATAAATAGTCTGTTTATAGTCTGTTTGTATAACTTTTTTTTATTTCAGTCTTTTTTTCTTCATTACAGGGAAAATTCAAATAAACTTAAATAAATTTCAGCAAAGTCAAAATCAAATTAAATGAGAAAATATGAATATTATAACATTATTTGTCTTAAATTCATTTTAAGTCTTAAGTTTTCAGAATATGTTGATGCTAATTTACCCACCTGAGGGCCCGGCTGAGCTTGTCGTAGTTCATGTGTGGTTTGCCCTTCCTCTCGCCCCACAGCCTGGCCAACATCTCAGGGTCCCTGATGACAAACTCGCCCCACTCCCCTCCCCAGCCGATGGCCCCGCCCTCGCCTCGGCCCAGTAGCTCGAGGAGGAAGTGCCAAAGCTGGATCTGTCGGGAGCCGGGCGACCACGTGGGTTTGTAGGCCCAGTCAGGAAACAGCACCGCTGGAGAAGCAATTGGGAAACAATAAGGAAAGTCAGCAATCTAAAATTCAGTGGTTGTGTTTGAGGTTGCTCATTCATTTTTCTCAGGAAGCCACAAATCACACTTTGATTTGCTGGGTTAATATTTTGCATTATTGGTTAAAGTTAGAGGAGAAGCCTGAGTCTGAAGCCTGAAGTTGACACGGTAGCTATGCAAGTAAGCAAACATGAGCTGTAAACTGTATATAAATGATGGGACGAGCTGAGCATTTAATTGACCATTATGATTTTATTTTTAAGAAGTCAGATGGTTTTCTGAACTAAGACATGGACGCGATCACCGGGCATGCATACTCTTAAATCACGCTCAGGTTTCTTGCCTAATTCCTCCATATGGGACCATAATTAGAAAAAAATAAACTGACATTATATTTTATTAAATAAAACTTTAACCAGCATTTGAGACCATAAACTCACCAGGAATGTGTTTTTATAAGTCAAGTAAAAAAGGTTTTTATTTTTTGTTTTTCTACCGACTGAATACAATCGAATGTATTTTTTCAACCACACACGTCGCCCCCTGTTGGCCATTACAAAGACTGCAAGTTTAATGCTAAATACACTATCATAATAACATATTACTTATAAGTGGACTTTATCCAGTTAGATTCAGTGAGTGTGGCTGTTTCTTGTACTAAAACCTTGAAAAAGACAGAAGACGTAATTATTGGAATGATTAATTATGAATATTTGGTTATTTGATTAATATTTAGAAGGTAATGTGTCTCATGTTTTGTTCAGATTGGGGATTTTATTTTTCTTTTAAGCTTTGTGACAAGCTCAAAACTGCTATTAATGTAACAGAATAAAAACGCCACTGCATACGTTACATTACATGCTAATACGCTAATTCAACATAAATCACCTCTCTGTCAGAGTAAAACAAACATATATGAAGTTTGCTGTGAGGAAGTTGTTGTTGTTTTTTTGCTGAAACAAAAATTGCTGCACAAGAAGCTCCTAATATAACATCTTATTATCACCATATCAGATCGTGACTCCAATAGGCTTTGGTTTCTTTTTCTTTATTCCACACTGATTGTACGGATTTTTGCAAATGTGATTTTGGTCGTAGAGGAGTTTAACTGAATCTCTGTTTCATCCAGACATGTCATAAAAAAAACACAGACACAAACAATGAATATTTCTCATCATTTGTTTTGGTGGTCGTGAAGCTTTGTTGTTCTGTGAGCACAAACTAATAACTCTGCGACTATGAGAAAAATAATTTCAAGCTTATTCAAGCTCAGCTCATTATTTTGGGTTCAGAAATATGCTCATCTGTTACAGAGGTTTCTTACTGCAAGCTGGTTATCTGTAAATTCTTCCACAAGGAAATAGATTGTCCTTGGATCTGTCTGAAGCTTTGCTATTTGAGGCAAGACTGTAAACTCCAACAAAATTAATAAGGTGACGTGAATACATTAAAGCATAGATGGTTGTGTGTCTGTCTGTGTTGGCCCTGTGATAGACGGGCAGCCTGTCCATGGTGTAAACTGCCTATCATCCTCTGGCAGCTGGGAAAGGCTCCATGACCCTGAACTTGATAAGCAGTTAAGAAAGTGGAAGGATGCATGAATTGCTGTGTCTAACTTGTTGGCTGATAAAAATGTCCCATTTACCAAATATGTTCGTAACTGATACTACGTAATATAGTTTATAAGCTGGTAAAAACTGAAGTGTTAAAAGTTAAGACCAAGTTTTTTGGGGGGGGGAGTTAGAAAATGGATTACTAGATGATTAAGTTGTAACATATTTTAATTTAACTGAGCAAATAAACTCTAAAATAACAGCTCTGATGCGTCACCTCTCTGGTGGGGATGGAGCTAGTGCTTGAGGCCAAGAAATGCCAGCTAGATATAGTCGGTATTGCCTCAATGCACAGCCTGGGCTTTGGAACCTGTAGAGGGGCTGGACTCCATATTACTCTAGAGTTGCTCCTGTTGAGAGGCAGCGAGCAGTGTTGGGTATGCTTGGTTATCAGTTCAGTACCTGCATTTTGAGGATTGTTGGACTCCTTCGCTTAACCTCAGCTTGTCTATAATAAGCATCATGGCTGAGGTTAAGGGTGTTCTTTGCAGGTGGCATGAGGACTGTAGGCCAATCATAATTTTAGATCTGTGGTTTCAGGTTTTGGACACTTGGGTGAAGAACAGCAGAGTTGTGAACTGAACCCCAGCTTGCAGTGAGTTGAATCAAATAGTGGAGGAGAATTCTGAACAGGCTTACGGTTCAGGTACACCAGAAGGTTAATAGATGTTCAGTCGCAATCTGAGGGACTCTGAGGACATAAAGTCCAAATGGATCATGTTCTGCACCTCCATTGTTGAGGTGGCTGTATGGAGTTGTGGCCTCAAAGTGCTTGGCTAGGAAGTAATCCCAGAACCAGATGTTGGACATTGGAGATGAAGAGAGAGCCGTCAAGCTGAAGAAGAAGTCCTACTGAGCATGATTAGCCTTTGGGACTCAGGAGGCAGTTGACAGGTATTGACCAACCAGTGCAGCTCTGGCAGTAGCCAAAAACTTGCATGTGGGAAGATTTTGGTGAAACCATGGAGAAAGACTTTCAGTCAGCCTTGATGCAATTCTGGGAAACTGTCAGGTGACTCAGGGGGAGGAAGCAGTTTCCTGTTCACACTGTATACAGCAGGAGGTAGTCAGGCAGAGGAAAGAATATTTTGAGGATCTCCTCAATACTATTGAAAAGCTTTCTGCAGTGGAAGCAGTCTGGTAATGAGGGAGATGATTTGCCCATGACTGGAGATGAGGTCACAGACCATCTCTCTGTCCTCTTGTGAGTATTCCAGGGTGCATGGCAATGAGGGAACATGAGCCTGATATCCATGGCTAGTATCTTCTTCACGTTATTTACTTCTAGTCAACTAGTCAGACTCCCTCTTGGCTCCGCTGTCTTGTTCTTAATCTTCCTTGAAAAGAATGTTTACTGGTATCAAAATCAGCTTCTCTGCTTAACTAGAATAATGTCCTAAAAGATCCCCGAGTAAGCAAACTGATGGTGGAAAAACAGTTTTGCTTCGGAAATAAAACTGACAGATGTTCACGCTGGTATGCCATACCTCGTGGACATTATAGCTTCAGTTTTAACTTAAGTACAGACTAAATATTAATATCACAGGTCAAAATGGAGCAGCTTGTATCAGTTGCTGATTGGTCAAGACGGCATCAAGACTGCACGACTCGCTGGCGCTGACATGATGACATATCATTCCTTTGTTTCTCGCAGTTTTATCTATTTTTATCATGCAGCCGAATAAGATCTGCACCGAATGAATGCATAATAACTCTTACATAAATATGAACGCTATCCCACACAAATGTCTACCCACACATATGTAAATAACTGAGATGAACGCACACCGACACACACGGTCTTACTTCTGCTCCAATAAGGTGAGGAAAGGTGACCGACCGAGGAGCTGCAGCTGCACTGCATCTGTCACAAAATACAAACAGATAAAACTCGTCAGTGTCTTCACTGGACTGAAGGTGGGTGAGAAACGAGAAGAAAATATCTTATAAAAAATATTAATTACCTCTCATCTGGTGTGAAATTAGCCATCACAACAAAGCACAAATGCAGCTGATTGCAACAACTTATTCTTTCACCATCACCCACAAATTAAATCGATGGCAAAGCCCATCTCCCAATTGTATATTAGATCAATATAAGTAAATGAATATAATGTGTATGTATGCCCTGACAGTTTATAATGTGCCTGGAACTGCATTTGACTCAATAGCTGGTTTTACAGTGGCTTAAATGTGTGAAAGCACCCTTTTTACCTGCAGACATTGTTTAATACTCTATATTATTCTATAATTTCATCCTATAAACACACACACACGCACACACATCGTCCACCCACAGACACAATGACCTTCCCAGGCGATTCGCAGAGGCAGAGACACCCACCATCTTCCCTGCAAGGCTGAAAACTCATCTCTTCAAGAAGTACTTCACATAACCCTCTTCCCCCAACTGAATGATGCGTCCTCTGCTATAAGCCCTCTTCCATCGGCTGTAATATCCTCTTATCTTGGAGCAACAAAAAAAAAAAAAAAAAACGATGTCTACCTTCAGCTCTTATTTTATTTCCTTCTCCCATGAAGCACTACTCTCACACATGATCACCGCAGGGTCACAGGGACATTATCAGGAAACCGCGGGAGACGAGCCAAAGTCGTTTCACTTGTTAAGGCCGACGATTAGACAAAAACAAGCTCCAAGTTGTTCCGCTTCAAAATTGAAAAACAAACTAAAACATGGGATCAAAAGAGGACTGCAGAGGAATTAGAATTAATTTAGTTTAGCTTTCTGTGCAATTTTATGCAAACTTTGGCTCTCATATTTAAATTTCCCCCCTTTTTATTGGTTGTTTTGGTGGTTAACTACAATTTTTTACTCCATAAGAGCACCAAGTGCCTAAAAATGCAACTCTAACTCCACCATAAATCTAATGGTAACTAGTTGAAATCATTATTTCAGAGAAGCACAACATTTTCACAGGGTTTTTTTTTTAAGTAGGTGAATTTAAGGTCAAAATTTAACTAATCATTCAAAGTAATTTTGTTTACAAAGAGCAGCCTAATTCAGAAGCTCCCGTGCAAGTGTAATCATAATGCAATTGGTCCTGTTACCTTGATTGGAGCCAAAGTGGAAAACTCTTCGTTAAGACGAGTAACAATGATCAGTTTGTCTGCCGGCCCACTTCCAATCTGGGACGACTGAAGGATGGATGGACCGAATCTTAAACCCTCTATCTCATCTCACCCCCTAACCGCACACAGACACACACTCCCACCTCCCCCTTCCCTCCTACAACATTACTCCCTCCTTCCCCCAGCCCCAGAATTAGGAAGACTGGGGCATGACAAAAAGATGTTGATTACACTGATGATGAATGAAGAAAACCCTCCCAAAACATGAAACCATCACTCATTAATGAGTTAGAAATGCAACTTTGATTAGCTGCTGATAGATCATCATCTAACAGTTATTTTTTAAAATATATTAACATGTTAATTTGTGTAAAAACAAATAGGGACAAATGATTGTTATAATTTGCAAGAGCCGTTAAGTGCACCTTTAAATTCCACAAAAAGAAATCGTTCAAATCTCCAAGGGAAGTCATATATGGACCACAATGTGTTATTTAGCTAAACTAAATATATATATACTAAATATA